CAAGAACATATAATTTGGCTGTGAGTGTCATATAAGTACTAATTTTGTTAAAAGTTTTTTTCTTTTCCTTACCTACTTCCCCCCCCCCCTTTTGGCCAAAATTTTTGATAATGTATGATAAAAGTAAAAGGTATACACAGTCAGGTCCACTTTATTCATAGTTTGGAAAACTCTACAGTTAAAGTATGGTCGTAAAATATTGCATCTAAGGGGCCATTGCTTATTTCCGCCGTGGTTACTTACTCTTTTTCGTATTTTGAAAAAAATTCAAAATGATTGCAAGTGAGAAACAATTGCTTACTTTCGCTATCGTCACTCACTTTTCTGTACAACCATTTGCAGATACTTTTTGGATGACTAAACGAGAGATGTCTTTTAGGTTTGAGTATAATTGACAAATTTTTCCGCAGCATTTTATATGATAAAATAAAAGGTATACTATCTCTCCTTATAAATCGCATATTGACAAAAAAAAGTTTAAGTAGAAGAGTGCACCAGATATGAAAATTTTAAGACGGGATAGCTATACAAGTTTTCAAACGCGAGAGTTCCACCTTTCTACAGACCCGTTAGTCTTTCCTACAACTAAGGTAACGACTGACAGACCATTTTCGCAGTGCCCGCAAAATTTTGTCCGTAAAGTAATTTTTTATTTTAATAAACTGTGTTGTACGAATCTGTAAAAAATGACTTGTGTTGAATCAAAACAAACGCATTTTTTATTGCGTGATAGCGGTCAACATTAATCAGATTTAATTAATCTTATGAAAAATTAAAAAGACGATGAAAGCGCTATAATATTCACTGTATAGGTATTACTGCATTCGTATCCACTCAACAAGACGGATACGAAAAAAATTGTCGTAGGGCTTAACTATAATATACATCGTCAGTGTTTCCAACCTTGTTGCAGTTTTCCAGATGATTCCTTTACTGATAAAACATCATTCAAATGGATTGCATACAAGTGAGTAACAGTGAGTTGATATTTACATCATCTTATGACATGAAATCAGTAATCTTTGATAAAAATAAAATTAGTGATGGACAAGGTGAAAATAAAAATAAAGAAAAATGAATGGTTCAACCATTGTTATGCAACACTGTACCTATTTAGGACTCACTCAAGCTGTCATATGTGTGGATAAAAGCTTCGCTATATCGAGTGTGCAGCAACATTAGGTAATAAGTGCAAAGAATTTATAGAAAATAAGTTAACTGTTTTATTTGAAAGTATGACTGTAGTGAATAAAATCAGTGTATAAAATTTAAAAAAGCTGGTTAAAGAACATTACTCAACTCAACGGAAAAATGTTAAAGGAAATCGTTATTCTGCAATTTATAATTTATTTTTAGAACAAAATTTCGACATGGTATTTTTAAAGTTAACTACGCACTGTTTAGGAATACTTTTAAATAAAATACATGAATAGAATTAATAATATCGTATAATATTAAGACATTGTGTTTGACGTTTCATCTTAAAAACGTTGTTTGTTTTATGATATAGTCAAATAAATCACCTCTAAGACTTTCGAAAATTGTTGGATATTGTAAGTAATACGACACCTTAACTTTCACCTGCTATTTAGCTTCATGATTAGTACACCTTTATAACCCTTAAAGTCTTGTGAGTAATAAACTGTTTGCTCGTAACGTACGAAAATTTAAAAATCAAATTTTATTTTCTTTAACACTGCTTCCTCGACACTAGGTTTTAGTCTGATTTAAACCTCGTCAGTGTTTAGTTATACAAAATGTATTTCGATGATCATTTTATACATTTATATTTTAAAAGTTTTTTGATAAACATTATGTTCTTTGTCAACGAGATTTTAGATAAATATTTAATGTATGTGAATGTTAAAGAATACGATTTACACAAGCGTATGTCACCTCAAAAAAAAAAAAAAGCGCTGGAATAGATACATTGCAAGAAAGCTGAAGTTTAAGAAATTATATTTATATAGGGCAAGTGTGATATACCTTTATCCTGGCAGCAGTGCACCAGATTAAGGTATCACGACTCATCGTTGTGTCGTAAACACGTGGATATGAAAGGATCATTATGAGGTGCTTATTACCTGACGCGTGAAGTCGAAACGACATAAGGTTTTACACTGGCTCATGTAGGTATTGTGTCATTTTTTAAACTACTGTTGCGGAGACAGTATTAATTTGTGTACAATTTATTCGATAGTAAACATAAGCAGTGGGAGCGTGACTTGGAGTCGCCACTATTACTTTCAGAATGGGGTGATGATAGAGATAGATTGCGATAAAGGTGAGTGTCAGGAGTTGTGCCACCTGATGAGAAATTTTTTTACCTCGGATGGTTAATCAATAATGTATGAAAGAGTATTTAAATAAGTGTATTTTTAAAAATATGCTTATGAATTTTGTTTGTGAGTTTATAATGTTCGTTTTTATAGTATATATGTATTAAATATTTTTTTTTTTTTCTATTTACTTGAAAGCCCCTCACACCATCCACTTCTAATACTACCATTTAGCAAGAGCGATCAATAATTGTGAACTATTTCAGAGTTTTAAATTTTGCGCACTCACAGACTACAGTTGGATTTAGTTTTAAATTTTTACAGTTTCAAATTTATTAATTTTTCACGCTTACCGATCAGTCCCAGCTGGTAATTAAGGGTGCCTTTCAATTTTTTCTCCACTGGAAAAAAAATTATTGTTTCTGGCCAAGCAATGACTGTAGTTATATTTACATTAGGCGGGACACCTTGCATCTTTTTCCGCGCACCGCTAATTGGGTTATTGGATTATTGGCTCCCAGGGTCACGTGACGTCTACTAAATATAGCACCCCCCGAGGCAATGTCTTCGGTGCCAGCCGTATGACCTATATCTATGAGTCTGTCTGGAGAAATAGTTTCCTTACTACTAGCCTCAGATGGATGGCACTTACGTGCTGAACACTGTTTTTTCTACCGAGGGCGTACCTTACCCTCAAAAACGCCTAACGCATATAAACGTATTAAAAAAGAAAAGAAGTTTTAAATTTTTCTCCAGAGATCTCGAAGTAAATATTGTGGAATTAAGTTAATTTTTCTATATTAACGAGGATGATCGAGAACTATGATAATTTTCGTGAGAAAAAAAACTGCCTATGGTATTGAAAATGTCAATTAATATTATTTAAAGTACGTCGCGCACGTCAAAGAGAGATAATATTGTACTCATTGTAAAAAACTATAAAAAATTGAAAATTATGAAAAACTTTTATTTAAGGACTAGATCAAAGAGTAGGATGTACATGTGACCTTTCGTTTACTATCTCGAAAAGTACAAAACCCGATAGAGTTTCTCTCTGATGCAGTTCTCTCGTTTTTATATTGAAAAGAACGGCACAAAATGTTAAGTCTCAAAAAAATTTTAGTGAGACAGTTTTTTCTGTGGATTGAACGAATAAATTTGCACTAACTAAAAAAAAACGATTTGTTTTAAGAGCAAGTAGCATTTACGAGGTGTGATCAAAAAGTAAGGTGACTTTTTGAATTGTGCACGCTCTTTACACTCCAAGTTAAAAATTTTTTCTTATTATGTTAGTACACTAGTCATGATCATATGTTCATAGTTTTGACTATATAGCATGTGTTGTTTTTATGTGAGAGACTTAAAGGTTAGACTCGTGGTTGCGTACTCGGCGATTTCTTTTTGTTGAAAATAATGGAGTAAAGAGTTTGTATTAATTTTTGTGTAAAAAATAGTATTAAGTGCTCAAAAACTCTTGAAATGTTGACAGTGGCCTACAGCAAGTCAACTATGAGCAAAAAAAATGTTTATGAGTGGTATAAGTTATTCCAAGAGAGCCGAGAAAATGTTAATGATGAACCTCGCTCTGGGCGACCCAGCACTTCAAACACCGACGAAAATGTTCAGAAAATGAAAGAAATGGTGATAAAAGATCGTCGAATCACGATTAGAGAAATAGCTGATGATCTTGACTTATCGTTTGGCTCATGCCAATTAATTTTGACGGATGTTTTGAGTATGAGACGTATCCGCGAACACCATGATAATGCACCTGCGCACAAGTCGTTATTAGTTAGTAGTTTTTTGGCCAAAAACAGTACTTCCATCATGCCTCAGCCACCATATTCACCAGACTTGACCCTCAGCGACTTTTTACTCTTCCCAAAATTGAAAAAGCCCATGAAAAGACGAAGATTTGCCATGATTGAGGAGATTAAGGCTACATCGCTGGAGGAGCTCAAAGCAATACCCAAAATAGCATTTCAGAAGTGTTTTGACGACTGGAAAAAGCGTTGGCACAAGTGCATTGTATCTGAGGGGGATTATTTTGAAAGAAAAACATACTATTATATGAATGAATAAATATTTTTTTATAAAGATGAAAAGTCACCTTACTTTTTGATCAAACCTCGTATAACTTAAATAGCACTACTTACACATGGCAAATAGCGCATATTGCTTATAATAAATAATAAATCTAGTTGTACTCAACTTAACATAACGTTTAGTTAAGAAAAACAAAACGATTTTATGTTTGCACAAAATGACTTGTTTTCTTCATTGGAAAAACTTTTTCGCTAAAAGTTTTATGAAATTGGATATTTTTACTGTACTGTTTGATGTAAAATCTAAAGAGCGGCATCATTAAAGAAGTCTGTTAGGTTGCATACTTTTCAGGCTAATATACTATAGTATGTAAACAAAAGGTCTGGAAAATTTTAATTCATTGATCTTGTCCCTCAATTGTATTAAATGGGTAAATTAAATGTTTTTCTCAAATTGATTTAATTTATAGCTTATAAAGAATTTATGCACAAACCTGAGTCAACTTTTTGACAATCACCCTTTTACTTTATGTATGTGTGAATTTATTTCATGTTTGCTTGTAATAACTATTTTCTACCAATTTCTGGGTTGAGTAGATAGGTTATGTTGAAGTTCTAAATAAATTCTATAGTTTAAATCAAGTTTCATGGATACCACTGAAATACTTTGTACTAGGTATTGACTAAATACAAACAAGATCATGATGTGGACCAAACTAAAAGTTATATTTCTTCGGATGAACAGGTATTTGAATTTTTCTAAGTGTCATATGTACAAGTAAGCATGGGTAATCTAATAAATACTTATGCAAATTATTTATAACATACAATTTAATTTTCTTCAGCAAAGCTATGATGAAGCATCTATTGCTGACCTACCTCAAGATACAGACAGAAAAAATGCTAATTTTGATAAGTCATCCATTCACCATTGTCCATTTACCAATCGACATGCGTATGAGGTAAACCATTTTCTATTTAATTAATATTGTTTTCTAACAAGTTAGTTATTTTATTTGATATTATATTCACGTAGTTTCTGGGTAAAGTTATTACTTCCTCCCTGCAGTCCCAAGTAAAATCGCATGTACACAGGAAACAGTAAATAACTGTACCTAGATCGCGCGTATAAACACATGTTATCGAAGGCATTCCTTTCTTTGCCTCCTCAGGTGTGCAATATTGGGATCGTAATAGTACCGCGTAGCTACGGTGACATATACAGCTATCTTCACGAAAAATTCTATAGTCTGTAAGCTACTATATATTATTTTTTCGTTGGTATAGCAAAGAAGTCCAAATATTCTTTCTTTTTCTTTTATAATTTTTATTCATGTCGTTTGACGCGGTACGAATCGCCACAATCTTGTCTTTGAATAGGCGCCCGTAAGAGAAAGAGCAATTGACGATCTACATGCCTGGTGCATGACGACGGCGACGTAACCAAGGGCATATTTCGTCACAGGACGTCAACAGTACCAGTTGGTTTGGATCGAAATATGGCTCACCGCACCGTGCCCCCCTAGCCTAAGGAAGAAAACAGCGCCTACCGCTGAGATCGCATCGGCATCTTTGGGGCTAGAGAGACAGGGGCTCTGGCATTCTAGGTTCAGAGATCGAGCTCGACTGAGTTCTTCAGTTTTTCTGATTTTTGAGCTTAGGATCCGCTGGACCGGACATTTTATCGTGAGCCATCTTGGCATAATCTCAATAACAGCTTCAATGCACGATTATATTTGCTTAAATTCGCTAATACTTATTGCTTAAATGCACAATTACGTTTGCTTAAATGCTTTCTTTAAGTTTTATTATGTTTAAGTGCTTATTCGTTTATACTTACTCATTTGCTAATTATTGTTTTACATTTGAAAAATATATATTGTTTGATTTTGTTTTGTTCTTATAAACTCTTGTAACATTTTTGATTGCTGACATGAAACTGTACATTTAATTTCATTGCTTGATTTATTTTGCGAACTCCGGCAAGTAATGCATGCTATCTTTGTTTTTTTTGCTTATTTTCAGTCTCAGGAGCATCGTCCTTGCGTTTTCAGTGGGCAAAGCCTTTCGTCGTTCGAGGGCACTTGTGCAAGCAGGAGAAGATCGTACGTAATAATTGGTTTCTGTATCCTCCCCGAACCTTTTTGATCTCTTGCTTAGCGAGGGTGACAAACGTTCATTCTTTTCCCTTTATTTTGCTACATATTTCCTTGAGGCATCGTAAGCTTTTTTTTGCTGCACGTTCGTCCACACTATTGCCTGTGCAATGACGAAGCGAATAAAAAAACGGGCGTACATTATTTTTTACAAGTTTCTTTTCTTCGCATGAAGCTCTGCTGCACATCCACGTAGGATCCATCAAAATTAAGTTTACACACTAATATATATATGGTAGTGAACTCATGGAAAAAAAAAAAAAAAAACGTTACAAGTCTTTATGAAGAAATCAAGTTAAAAATTTTTTTTTCGTAGTAAAAAAGATTTTGAACGTAAAAAGTTATGTGAGTAAATTTTTTTAACATTGTAAAAGTTGGATTTCTTTCGTAGAGCATGTGGAATTTTTCCATGAGATATCTATACGAGGCCTGTCCCAAAAAAATCCAACCTACCTCAATTTTTCGGTGATTGACATATTCGTTGTAATTCGGTTGGTGGAATCCTTTAAAATAGTCTCTATTTGATTGAACCGCATGCTCAAATCAATGTTTTCACTTTCTAAAGCAGTCTCAAAAGTTAGTTTTTGGAATCACTTTTCGTGTATTCGTTGCATTGGTTTCAACAGTTTTCTTGTCATTGAAACAATGTCCTTTAAACAGCGTTTTCGATTAATATAATAGCCAAAAGTATCAAGAAGCTATGTCAGGACTGTATGAAAGCTGTTGAAACTGTACAATACTATGTTTTGATGAAAACTGCTGCATAAGGTTGATGCATACGTTAAAAGATTGGTGCAGTAAAAAAGCCAGTCTCTGGCTTGCCAAAAGTGTGATCGTTTTCTTTCAATTGCGTCTCGCAATCTATTCGCACATTGACTAGAACGAGAATCACTAGCAACAGATATGTGGCCATTTTCAAATCGCTTACATCATTCCATTCTTTATTTCTGTTTTGACTATAATCATAGTTTTTAACAATAAACAAATTCGACAAATGTGAACTAGATACTACAAGCAGATACATGCTGAGCATGAATTCACCGTGCTATTTAAAACTGCAAGCAACTGGTAACTTTGCGAGGAGTTACTAGTAATATCAGTACCTTAGAGCACTCAGCTAAGGTCTGTGGTGCAAAGACACAAATGCAGACCGAATACTTTTGGGAGGGACCTTGTATGCATCGACTTAGCTATGTGGTAGTGTTACGATCTCAATAAACTATTATTAGTTGGGTAAAGCTAGCAAATCCAGTACATGAAATTGCGAACTTCACTTTAAAAAAAATTTTTTGTTAGATAATAACAATGCAAATAACATATTACGCTTGAACGCCGATCCCATAAGAGCAAAATGGTTCAAAAAAAGTAAAAGTCGTCAAAGTCACTTTTTTTCGATGTACTAAAAAAGTATAAATTTAACAAATCAAGTGTAAAAAAAATAAAAATTCGTAATAAAAAAAAGAATATAACGAGTTCTTTTGAGCTCTGATCAGTCCAGTAGTTTTTTAATAAATTGCAAGAATATTTTCTTTTGTGCCATTTATTCGAAACTCCACAACTTTTGTTCAGCTCCATATAAAAACTTGGAAACTTTGACAGAATGTGTGCATTATAGGCCTTAATACCCATACAAAAATTTAGCAAGATCGATGTTAAACTTTTTGAGGAACTTTAAAAAAACTGAAAAAAGGTCCTTTCGAAAAATGGTTATAAAAAAGTTTTGGGCCAACGTAGACCAATTTTGAAAACTCTTTTTTGTTAATCGAGAGCTGCTCTACGACATCCTGCAAATCTGTACCATTATACCCAGCCAAAATGTGAAAAAAATGTGGGGGCCGCCGTGATTTCTTGACTTTTTAAAACGAAAAAAGCAATTATAATAGTGATATAATAATATATTTACTTGGTCTAATTAATAAACACTCTTCGTTTCTGACTTATTTCGAAGTTCCCTGAATTTCAAAAATAATGTCTTATTACTGTTGTTATTTGTATGCATGTGAGACATATGCTCAATTGTTAGTAAATATATTATCAAAGTATTATTACAGTTGCCTTTTTTCCAAACAGTAAAACATCGATCTTGCTAAAATTTTGTATGGGTGTTGAGGCCTATAAAATACATTCTGTCAAAGTTTCAAGTCTTTGTGGTTTTTGAAAATTATTAAAAAACTGCTAAACCGATCATAGCTCAAAAAAACTCATTATATTCGTATTTTTATTACGCAATTTTTATTCCATTACACTTTATTTGTCAAATGCATAGTTTCTCCGTAAATTACAAAAAAGTAACTTTGACAATTCTTACCATTCTTTTTAATCACCTTGCCCTTATAAGATCAGTGTTCAAACTTAATATGTTATTTGTATTGTTATTGTCTAACAAACAAATTTTTCAAGTTAAGTTCGCAATTTTATGATTTTTCAGGCCATAAATCAACTAATTTTACCCGACTTATATAGTTTGGACAATATGTCTATAACAATAAACTTTATATTTCTATTTACAATAGTTCGAAGGGGTATCACATTTTTTAAATATGAAGATAATAACAGTCGTAATATCATTCATGCTAAAATTCTAGTCCAATTGAAATTATTGAAATACTACTCATAAAACGATTGATCACCTATATTTTTATAAGTATTGATATTAAATAACAACTTTTACTGAAAATATAACAATAAATTAAAAACGAGTTAATAAGTCAATTTTTACAATTAATAACAAATATACGAGTGTTACACTTGTTTTGGCACACTGTACCATAACATTAGATATTTCTTCGAAAAATGTTAAAACGCACTACAATAAAAATTTGACAGAAAAGCGAATTTATTTAAAACACAGGAAAGCTTACAAAAATTAACAAAAAAGTGATACAAGTAAATCACTACAGTCAGAAAAGTCAGACGTATGTAGCTTGAAATGTGGGTCGTGCGACGCAGTGTACGTAGGACAAACTGGCAGGTCTTTTACTAAACGTTTAAAGGAATGTAATGAGGCTTATGTTAGTGGTGCGGAAAAATCAAATTATGTGCCGCACCTGTCAAAATATAATCATGATTTGAATTATAATCTTAAAGTCTTACCTGTAGCACCTAAAGGCGAATTATTAAATTCTTTAGAAACAGCTGATATGAATAATCTGAAAGATGCAAATATTTTGTTTAACTGTCAACTAGATTTAAATGACTCACTGTTGTTACATTTGAAATGATACATATATTCGTAAGTAGTTTTGATAGGTTGATGTTATACTCATACTTACTATATAGTAATATCGGTGTATCCACATTAATTTTTTTTTCCCTTTTCTTCAAAGTTTTCTTTGCAGATATTTAAAACACTAAACGCAGAGACCAATGTGCATCTGAAAAGAGGTGAATCACCTACGAAGCTGCTCGTAGCTGAGTTACTATGAACATTTATGACTCACGTACATAAACGCTGCCCTATGCTGACCGGAAACGAAAATTAAATGAAATACTTCTCAAAGCAGAAAAATAAAATAATTTTAAAGAACTAATAGATGCAAAAATTTAGCTGAGAACGGCTGCGTCGGTAGATAAGAATAATTTAGATATGAAACAAGTAGACCAAGATATAATTTATAATATAGTTAATTTTAGTAATAAAGCAGACCAGGATGAATTCACGATACTAACAATGGGCAACAGCTATATGAGTAAACGTGCAAACTACGATAAATCTAGTAAAGCAATATTATTATCTTTTCATTTGTTTTTGCAGATGCACGATTTGCTGAGCTACCCCTTTACACTGTAAAATTTTTATACCATCC